TTATTTTGTCAACCTTTTGAAAATCTTGGTGCTGCCGCTTTGTCTTTTTTTTTTTTTTTAATGAAAAGAAGGTTTAGGTGTTGTTTCTTTTGGAACACTTAAGCTGGTACTCTGACCTATTCTTCCATCACATTGAAGTACTTACTGATAGGCAATGCATTGGAACACCATCTGTTTTATTTCTTAGAGGTATTCCTTTTCATGGAAAGAGTCAATTTAGTATTAGCCATCACTGTGTATGGTAATGCGCATGTAGTGCATTACAGGAGTTCTTCCTTATTATTTATTTATTTATTTATTTTGTTTGTTCGCCAGCTTCAATAGTTTCTGTTTATACTTCCTCTTGAGAAAACAAGGCAAATGTAATGCTTTTCAAATTTAATGGTTCAGAGTCTCAGCTCAGTCATCAATCTTGCTCCTTATTGAACAATTATGATCATTTGTGCTAAAAAAATAATGATAATGATCAAGTGTGTAGTTTTATCTGTGCACAGGCTTCTGCATCTTAACTTTACATGTGCATATTTATACAAACTACTTCTGTTGATGCAGTTATAAAGCTATGGATTTATGCCAAATTTTATTACACGTATGCAATTTTTTTTAGCTGAAAATTATCCCATTTTGGAAGACAATTGATGCAAGATTTAGTTTGTCGTATTCTTCTTTAACTTTTGTGAATCTTGAATAGTTGGGTGGTTCTTATCACTTGATCTGCGTACCATGTGTAGGCCTGACTCGAGAGTAATAAGATTGATACAACGAATGGGTTCTCAAGTTAATCCAAATCAGAAGCGTGTTTTGTGCATGAATAAGATAGACTTGGTTGAGAAAAAGAAAGACTTATTGAAGGTTGCAGAAGAATTTAAGGATCTTCCTGGATATGAAAGGTAAGCAGGAAGCTCTTACATAGTCATGCAGTCTGTGTATATGCAATGTGGTGTCTTAACATTCACTTGAGTGATCAAATTAGAAAGGGAAAGCCGCTAACTACTTGCATGTTATGTGCTGACTTCTCCATACTAGGTACTTTATGATCTCTGGACTAAAGGGATCAGGAGTGAAGCAACTGACTCAATATTTGATGGAGCAGGCATGTTTTATTTCTCCTCGTTTTTTTCTGTTTTTCTGATTATCATAAATTTTTCAGTGTTTATGATGTTAGCCATCTATCTCCTTTCTATTACTAATATGACTGAGTGTACACAACCTTATTGCTACTTTTTAAATACCACAATAAGGATTTGGTGCAATACAACTGACCTTACTTGAGGAGTTATATTCTCTATGAATTTCTGTGGCACCTATTCCTGTACTTAGCAAATGGTGGTTGATTATTGTTTCTTTTCTTAATTCAAGCATTCATTACCACTACAAGATTATTTCTTAATCTGTAATTATGTGATAGTGTTAAAAAATCATTTGTACTTACAGATTCATATCTTTAAATGTAGATATGTTACACGTATAGATAATTTTTCTCTTAAACCCCAAAGATCGCATAGAAGTTTTTGTTCATTTGTAACTTTATATGCTAGTAAGGTTTGTGTTTGCTGTGTATCTGCCCTTAAAATATTTTGGTTTGTGTTTCTAGTAGGAAAAGAAGAAAAATTGACCAAAGAGTTGCCCTAGCTCCAAACAGTATCAGCTCTTTCATCTTTGCATATGTCCATCACTGTGGCCTCTTTCCCCAACTAACCTCTTACAGTTACCTTCACTCTTTCAATATGCTAAACATGGAAGCATCTAAACATCTATCACCTCTTGAGTGCTTAGCACTTAAAATAAAAAAGTCATAATAATAATCAAGTTACAATTTGCTAAATTTGAAGGGAGAGTAGGAGTTTAGTGCTAACTCTGGGTACGCCAGTTCAGAAAGTATGGAAGATAAATAAAATCTGCATGCATAAAGAAGTTTTTATTGGGAAAATAGGTATACAAATGAAGTGCATGTTGCGAGTGCTAATGAATTTTGGGACGTATTTTGATGAAATTTCTCATCTGAAAGAAAGTTCCTTCAAATGCTAAGCTTAAGATATATAGCTTCCCAATCTTCTGATTGACAGTACTTCTTGGGTAGTTATACAATAATTTGTATGACCAAAGGGCATTGACTACTTATCCCTTTATTCTGACTTTGAAAGGAAATGCTAATTCATCATTTCCTATATTCCATGTGATTGCTGTATTCTGCATTTTATGTAGTAAAAGTCTCAATATTTGGCCTTCCTACTCTGTTTCTTATCTTCTAATGCTGGTCTTCCCTTTTTTGGCATGATTAGGCTGTCAAAAGACCATGGGATGAAGATCCATTCACTCTTACAGAAGAAGTGATGAAGAACATTTCACTAGAAGTGGTACGGGAGAAATTGTTGGATCATGTACATCAGGTAATGCCTAAAATTAGATTTAACAAATTAAATTTATTTATCTATAAGATTCATTTGAGTTGAGACATTTATGTCGTCAATCAGGAAATCCCATACAACATCGAACATCGGTTGGTAGATTGGAAGGAGTTGAGAGATAGTTCTCTGAGGATTGAGCAACATTTTATCACTCCCAAAATGAGTCAACGCAAAATTCTTGTGGGAAAGAAAGGTTCCAAAATAGGGTAATGATGTTTGATGCAACTTTTCTCTGCCTGTTACTTTTAGTTTCTTTTGGTTTTGGTGATAATGAGACAACTCGGACTCAACAGGTTTGTTTTAAGACTTGATTCAAAGCAATGGAAGCTTACTGGAACATAGATGAAATCGTTCAGTGCATTTCTTGAGTGCCAATTTGGTGCTATTATCTTTTATTTCAGTAACAATGGGTCGGTTTCTTCAATGATTTCCGTTATTGCATACACATAATGCTCGCAATTAAACTTAATTTTGATCCGTTAAGGATGGATTCTTGGCATCTTTTATTGTTTTTTGTTTTGTTATTTGGTGACTTATGTCTTGTTTGCCATGTTCAAAGATAGTAATGGGCTAGTAATAATTTGTTTTGTCAAAGTTATTCAAATTTGTACTTGAATGCTTAAAATACTCAATGACCCTGAGGAAAGCTCAGATGGTTTAGTTTTTGAGCATCGAGATTGTTTTGAGTTTGCTTAATTTCACCTAGGACCTGATTGGTCTGTTTCCAGTGGTGTTTGTTTTTGTTTTCATCTTTTTGTGATTGTTTTCTTTTACATCAAGCTGTCTTCTTGTCATTGCAAATTAATTGAGCTGTGACATTTTATGCTGCAATGCTCAGCTATTTTTATTCCTGTTTGTTTTATGATTAAATAACCATTACTTATTTTATGTGCTCATAAGTTGTAGTTATCTACTTTTGGCGCAGAAGAATAGGCCTTGAAGCGAATGAGGAGTTAAGATCCATATTCAAGAGAAACGTCCATCTCATCCTTATGGTGAGACTTAAATCATGAGATCAAACAACAAATAATAATCAAGGCTAAAGAGTATATATCTTTGGAGCCTGGTGGGTTCCATAACTGAAGAGGCGCGCAAATTAGATTGCTTGACTCATCGCAGCAAGAACATAATTATAATGCTGGAGTGCTATGAGATGATGCCAATCAGGTTTCCCTTGGGTGTGGTGAATGGTTACAAAGCTTTGAGGAACCCACCTTTCAAGCATTACGTGCATATATTCAAAGAGAGGTTCTCTCTTTCCCTGGCCCAGTGAGCCTGTTATATTTGGAGATCAGCAAGCCTTGCTGCGCTGATACCCTTTCTTTTTTGGCCAGTGTTGTGATTATGTAAGAAACACTTGAAGCATCCCCTGCTATTGGCTCCTTTTTGCAGATGGTTTTCTCTCTTGAAGTTCCATGTTAGTTTTGTTTCAGCAGGAATTTTCTTTTTCAGGCAGCTGGTGTTTTTTTTTTTTTTTTTTTACATAATATCCTATACTTAGATTATTTGACTTATTGTCACACAAATGTACAAAACCAGCCAAAGCTATGATGATGCTACTGAATTCTTTTCTCATTAAAATGATATAATTCTTTGGGGTATCATCTCTTTGATCAGGTATTGGGATGATCTTGACTCTCTTCCTAGGATTCTCACTATTAAAAAGCTTGCAGCTTTCGTTGCTAGTTTACATTATGTCTAAAAGACAAGTATGGAAGTAAGCCCAAGTCTTGTACTTTTTGATGAGAAACTATACTGTGCAGGTGTGCCTCGAAAGATTATTTACTGTGTTTTGGTAGGCAATTCACAGATTATTTACTGTGTAAAGCATATGACACCCTATACTAGTTGGCGAAGCTCTAATTACTATGCCATCGAAACACGATAATTGTAGAGCATCTAGAGAGATTTCTGTATGGTAATATTTTTTTGCCTTACTGGAGTGGGTAAATTCTGTAAAATAATTTTTTCATATCTTCTGCTCAAGAAAGCTATATCGTGTGAAGAAATTGTTGGTAGGCCATTAAAGGTAAACTAAGAATTTTAACTTAATCTCTTGGATTTTGGACCCTACTAGGTTTCCATGTTGTGTTTTAGTCTCAAATAAATTCCCTGCTGAAATAATGCATTTTTTCTTCTAGGTATGAAGCAAATTAACTCTACATAAGTGCAATTTAAGCAAATGTCTCTTGATTGCATTGTAGTATCTTTTTAGGTGCAGCAAAGTTGAGCATTTTATACAACTTCTGTTGGCCAAAACAAGAGATGCATGGAATAATACCTGTTCTGGTTTGTCACAGAAACAGCAAAGTATTACTACAGAAAAACAAAATGGAGATGGAAACTAAATGGTTACTACATTTATAGTGTACCAAATGATTGTAACATTGTACTTGTCTTAATGTCTTTGGACACTAGGTCCAGTCTAAATAGTGGATTCAGAATTCTCCCATATGATCAATAATGCATTTTGGTACAAATGAAAGAAGAACACTGTTCAAAATAAAGGGTGATTGCATTAAACACATGCAAAAGTACTAAAATAGACCTCATACAAGTTACTACATCATTAACTAGTAGTATTACATTGTTACCAACTTATTCACATCACTGAAAGTTAACTAGAAACTAGAAATGCATCTTAATTGGAAACTACAAATGCATGCTTCTAACTAACTAACCCTAATATTGGTGATAATTAGCCAAGAGTTTGTACTACAGTAAAATAGCTTGGTTATCTCATGACTTCTGCAACAGTACTAGGATTACTGATGGGATCATAAAAACCTAAACTACCCACTGAAAGACTGAAAGGGAAGTGTCAACTGGTCCAGAAGTGCAGTAACAGGTGTTGCAAGCCTAGGCTCATAGCCAAAACCATGCAATTCACCAGCTTGATCTCCGTAACTCCTATAGCCATGAATGTATGGACAAGAAGGAATCCACTGCCATCTTTTCCTGCAAAAATCAAACATTAATGCCTTTTCAGATCCTCGGATCAGTATAACAATAAATTCTCCATGACCAACACAATTGAACCCTTGACCATTTTCAACATCTGAAAATTGAAGGTATAATTGCTGTGGCATTCTTTCGATCTCCACCCACATTGTCCCACAGTCTTGCAAGGACCAAAGCCTCAAACTTTTTGGCACATTAAGCTTGCTCTTCTCCACTGCTGCAACTAGAATGAGCTTCCCTTTGCTCTCAACCAAGCTTGGAGAACGCAGAAACCTTCGCATGGGAGCTTGAATTTTGCACCATTGATTTGCAATGATATCATATGACAGAATGCTAAAAGGGCTATAGTTCATGCAGTAAAATCGGCCATTAGCAAAAACCATTTGTCCTGATTCAAGGCTACAAAGCCTTGGGAGGGAAGAAGTAGTACCCCAGATGGAGTAGAATCCTCCACCATCAATGTGAAAGTTTTCAGTGCTTAAATTCTTCACTGCATAGGGGGATATCATGTCATCTCCTGCAACAGCTAGATCAATGGATGTGTTACTGATGGTTAAACCAATAGAAGGGAAAAGCCTTGGCCTTAAAGTTGAAGGCAATGGAGTTAGAGACCCAGTGAGTGGATTAGACAGAAGAATGCTCTTTGAACCAGCCTCTTCAGACACCCAGCAGATTAGGCCACCTGAGGATGAGGCTGGGGAAAAACCTGGTGGAATCAAAGGGCAGGAAATTCGGTGCCACTTGGTCTCATAAGGGTCGAAAAGGTACCCTTCACAGTTGATTCTATCGGCTCCATTTCCACCATTAGTGGTCTTGTAAATATTGCTCTTTAAACTCTTCTGCTTGAAGAATATGAACCAGTGGCAGCGTGGAGAAACTTGCAAGTATAGCTCGAGAAAGCTGTTGGAGAATAAGAGCCCATACCATCTCTTACAGACTGCTCTAGCTCGAAAGAAAGCTGGTACAGGAAGAAAGGCGATCACCCTATCAATCAGCCTTTGTGGGAGTCTGCTCCATATCCTACTGTCCATCCAGGGAGTGGTTATGCAATTTGCTGCAGGTCCAGGAATACTTCCAGTGTTGCTACTAGTAATAGTAAAGTTGTAGGGAAGAGGAATGCTTATTTGGGCATGATGAAAAGTTTCCATGTTGATGGAATTGGGGTTTTTAGGTCTCTTAACAGTTTGGCTTACTGTTGGTGACCGAGTTATGAAAACGTTCTTTTAGTTATCAAAGAACAACAAAAGGATGTGATCTGAGCTAATGAATAATCGATTTAGCAACCCTTTTTCACAACAAAAGTACAAGGATTGGTTGCTGAATGTTTTGTCTTTTTGAAAAATGAAGACCATTCTATTTGGAAAGTTAAGGTTGGGAGGAAAAGTATGGTTTCTCAAAATCAGTGGAAGTGAAGAGGAAGTAGAACAAGATGTTTACACAAGTCAACAAAAGGAAAAGAAAGATAAGCATCTAAGGGACAAGTCTGTTTTTTTGGAGTGACTGCAGCTGGGAATGGTGCTTTTGGTTGGAGGGCAAGTCACAAGTGTGTATTTATAAAGGATGGAACAGTGTGTTTTTTGATGTTTTCTTTATTGTCTTGTTCTTTGTTGCTTGTCCTCTCTTGTGTTATCCCTTTGCTGAGAAAAGGGCATGCAGTGAAAGTCACATTTACGGATGCATCCATCATTTCAGTGTTTTCTTGTCAAGGCCGAGGAAGGAAGGAACGAGCACCTGGGCTGACTCAAGGTGGCTCAATGCAGGCACACAATAATCAGAGAGAAAGAACAAAAGAACTAAAATAATCATAGCCATGCATTGAGCTCTTCGAAGTCACAAACTTTCCCACAAAGTTGCCCAAGATTACTGATCAACATGCTTACAAAATTAATTCTTCCCCAAACAATACTCATAGGACAGAAACAATTAATGTCTTGATTGGAATTTGGATTTTAAAATGGCAATTAAAAAAAATCCCTTTTTGAATTAAAAAATCAATTCTTGTTGGTTCACTAAAGAAGAAAACTTTTTTTTGAGGTAAGTAAGATAAGAGTTAATGCACGGTACTAATCGCATTTGTTTATTAAACATCTTTGCTAAAAGTTTTTTGATAATTGGCATGTCTTTCTCTTTTTCTTTTGAAATTCAAATTAAGATGCAAAGGGAGGGGGGATGTCATTTCATTGGCAACTTTTCGAACTTTGTGGCATATATATTACTTCTGTTTAAACTTGCACTTGGGTTCTTCTCTAAATGATAAGATATATCTCAGTTATCATAAAACTTTCTTTAAGCATATGATAATCTCCCTCATCGTCAATAACATCTTTTAGACAGTTAATAGGAGAACAGTTGGCTATGGAAGATCCATTTCATTGTTCAAGTCTGATTAATTTAGAAAACCCTTCAACAAATGAACCTCATTCACTTCAAAACCTTACTCACATTTAGTTCTTCTCAGAAGGAAAAAAAATGTTTGAAGATGTTGGGAGGAGAAATATATCAAGTGCAAGGTTAATAGATGGTAACCACGACAGCTCTTAACTAGCCTAGAATTGCCTCAAAAAAAAAACTAGCTTAGAATTGCCTCATTTATCCAAATTTCCAATTGTTGCTTGGGTATTGGATGATTGCATGATTTCTACAACTTACAACAACCTGCGCCTAGCTAGAGAGCCACGACAATAGGGTACGTACGCAGTGTTCATTTTCTTTGAGTTCCGTGATTTAAAAATTTGTTTGAGTAGATTGTATCAAACGCCATTTGATATGATCATATTCCTATCCCAACGAGTTTCAGATCATTTGTCCAATCCCACCTCCATGAGTGAATGAATGAACGATTTTTTGCACAGTTTGGCGTGTACTACAAAAAGCAGTGAAATCCACGAGATCTTTGATGATGATAGTCTTTGAAAGAAGAGCTGACGAGCTACCATGAAGCTCGTTTTGATTGAGGAAAATAATAATAGTAATAATTGTAATGACATTAGCCCCTCAGCCTCGGCTCTGCTGTACATTCACTTTTGCAACCTCACTGCTCTCTTTCCTTACTTTCTCTTTTCTCTGAGTAATAATATTCTCTTTCTGTATCTCCCTTGGCTTTTGCTTTGTTTTTGTTCATGGAAGCAAATCTAAGTCAGACTTCACTGCCACCAGTCACATTGTCTTGTTTCTGTCAATCTCTTTAACATGATTGCCTCTGAGTTTAGTTTCAACATTCAAAAATAGAAAAAGTTTTGCACCTCACTTTTGGAAATTGTGTTTCCCTTGAAGAAATCTCCTTTTAAAGTAAAAAGGTTGGCTCTCATATTTGGAAATTATGCACTTCTTCAAGAAACCCTTCTTTCTCTTTCTTTCTCTCTCCCTTTCCATGGGGTCACACCATATCATTACTCATGAGTTTCATTGCTTTTTCTTTCCTAATTTATTCACTGCTACTTTTACTTTTTGCTTCTTCAATCTCTCTAGCTAGTAATAATGTTAGTCTCCAGTCTCCAGTCTCCAGCTCCCAATTTTCATTTCTTGAATTGAATGGTTATCCTAGTTCTACCACAAACTAAAATGCCAGTTTTATACCAGTATATAGTTTGACCTCTGTATAGATCTCTTAGGATTGCGTATCATCCATGGAAAGCTTTCTTGTCTAGTTTAGTACTAATTAAATCCTAGGATTGACTTTTTCTTGTTTCTCCAATTATCTTTTGTTTTATCTAGATTGACTTTTTCTTGTTGAGTGGTTTCTTCAATTATCTCTTGGTTATAGCATGCTGTTGGCCTGTCGCCTAGAGCTCATAAATTAGCAAAAGGAAGCATGATGTGTTGGGCACTTGACATCTTAGTACAAAGGATAAAGTTGAGTAAGATCTATACTCCACGTATAAAAGTTTGTACATGTGGTTAACTTGGTTGAAATATTTGATACTCGATTTTGTGCCCAAAACCCCTTTAGCCCTCACTCAATCATTATTGTCAATTGCATTTTGTTACATTTTTTGTGAAACAATTACTCTCGAGCCATCTTCTGATTTCCACTTCTTCAATCTGTAGAAATTATCAATTCTGATTTGGGTGTATTTGGATATAAAATTATTTTAAATAGGATAAAATACACTAAACCCCTTGTGGTTTGGGTTATTATCATAAAGCCTCCTCATTGTTTAAAAACCCCCAAAGTACCCCCTCATAGTTTGGATTAATTTGGGCAATGAACGGAAATCGTTTAATTTGACGGGAAGTGAATTACACACGTTTGACAAGCGAGTGTGATAATAATACATCAAGGGTAATGTGATAATTTTACGTTTTCTTTTCTTTTCTTTTCTTTTTTTCCTTGTTCTCCCTTTTTCTTCTTTCTCCTGAACGATCTGGAGTAGAAATTACATGAATTTAGATGAAATCTAAGACGCAATGATGTTGAAGATGACGATGACGGTGGTGACCATGGCAATTGAAGCAGCAAAAATTACCATTGATAGATTGATTTGTACACTTCCATCACTGTACCAGATGAATTTAGTTGTAAACTCGGGGGCTACTGTGCGGGACAAATCCTCCTCCTCCGACTATACCAGGTGGGTTCGGGATGTAATCAATTGGTGGGCTGAGCAGAGAGTAATATGGCATTGAAGGCGGTGGCGGGTTTGGAACAAATACAGATGGATTGTGATTCATGGGAGCTCAACGGAATGGAATGAAAAGAATGGAAAGTGATTTCAGCCATAGAGATCCACTAACTGCGACCGCCTCAAAGTTTCAATGGATTGTTTAAAGGATCTGGCAAAAGCATCAAAAGACTCTTTTGTGCTGTTGGCATTTTGCATTCTTTCTGGGTGAGAGAACAAGAAACAAGAACCCATTTTCCACAAACCCAGCAAACAAAAAAAAAAAAAAAAAACGTACAGAGGGTAGAGGGAGAAAAGGAAGCCAGGAAAGTTTCTCTGCTTTTTCTTCCAAAATTCTCTCTGCCATTGGAAAGCTTTTTGAGTACTTTTTTTGCTTCTAAATTTGTACTTTCTTTCTACGTAGCACTGGAAAAAAAAGTCCTCTTTTTTTAAAAGTATTTCTTGCAAAATCGTTTCCTTCTTTTTTTGAGCTCTTTTGCGGAACAATTAAGGTTTCTGTTAGCAATTGGATCGGGTCGGGCTAATTTCCGAGGGCTGGACTAGTGCAATTCGGAACTTGGAAATGGACTCAATGGAGGCAACTTCAGTTTCTGCTTCTGCTTCTGCTGCAGCTTGCGACTCTAGGTTCGGATAATGGTTTGGGAGGGCTGTTATCGGCTGTGATGCCAGCGGACATGGGCTCGATTGAGGTGGATGCGATGATGGAGGCTGAGTTGAAGGAGAATGGGTTTTTAGTTGGATGGTGGCTGTGGTAATTAGTAGCTGTTCTACTGTTGTCGAAGGAAAAAATGGAGATTTGGAGAAGATGATAAGTTTTGAAACAAGGTTAATATAGGAATTTCATATTTTCCGTCAAATTAGACGATTTCCGTTCATTGCCCAAATTAGTTCAAACTATGAGGGGGTACTTTGGGGGTTTTATGATAATAACCCAAACCACAAGGGGGTTTAGTGTATTTTACCCTTTTAAATATTTTTTTACTTGCACAATAACCACGTTTCACTTTTATATTTTCAATTACTTTTTTATTTCATATATATCACATTACAAAAAGTGCTAGTTGAAATAATATCCTATCCAAACACAAAGTTTTAGACAAAAAGCATTTAAGCACACTAAATTATGGCTCTTTTTTTCTAAACTAAAAACTATGGGCTAAAAGCTTTTCCCACGAACAATCGAAAGATTAGCTTGTTAATTATGTTGATACCTTAATTAAGGATGGCAACAGAGCGAAGGACCCCTCCCCCGTCCCCCGTCCCTCGCCCCGCTGCCTACAAATTCCCCCCGCTCAGCCCCGCTTCCCCCGCAGGTACCCCCGTAGGGTTAATAAAAATTTGTTATATAATTTTATTATAATTAAAATTTAGCAAATAATCAAGTACTAAAATATCAACACATCACCAAATTATTATTCATTGTAATTTCACAATTGAAACTTATAAAAACAATCAAACAAAAGTTATTTGAATACAATCCAACATGATGAAATAAATACAACTAAAATAGTTAAATTTTCACTTTTGGCAGA